CACTCCGGATTCCTGAGCGGCGCAAGGTACCGCCACCACTCTCTCATACGGGTCCCGTAAGAATGAACGTGTCAGGAATTGGGGCAGGTCCGCATGGAGCGCCCTGGACGCGCGAGGGACCTCGCCCAGTTCGGCGAAGGACACCTGCGTCCACGACTCGAAGGTCCCTTCCTCGTAATCGCTCAGTACCAGATCGTTGGCTACTAGCCTCGCGGACTCGCGTTATTCCGTATGGGTTTCTCGGTCGGTCACTAAACCCCTCCAAATCTCATCCCACGTGTCCTCGCCGAGGAAAGCTGTAGCCCGAATCTCTAGGAACCGACCAAGGTCAGGCGGATCCCCTCTTTGCACCCCTTCTTTCCAGGTAAGCTTGCGAGCTCGAACCCACACGTAGGCGCCTTCCCCGATGACTCCTCCTTTCTCAACACTCATCCAGTAGGGTGTCAAGCGAGGGTCCCCTGGGATCAAGACTTTCCCAACGTCACCGGCTTCTATCGCCTCTACCACTCCGTTTTCGTTGAGCACAAATGTCACCATCTAAAGGTGTCGTTTTGAAAACCCACTCGCGGTATCTCTCTGGCGAGAGGGTAACGGGTTTTTCCAAAGACCCTAATCTCCTAAGAATATCCCAGAGTTTCCCTCGTGGAGGGATTCCCTGATCGATACAATGTGTGTACAGTAACCACAGGGCCCCAAATGGTAATCCTAAACTCCTTCCTCTTTCCAGGAGATTTACCACTCTTCCCTCGTTCGCGCCTGAGAACACAAAGTCCGGGACCCATGCGGTGAAGGGGTAACTCGCACTTGGGAGTTCACCTGCCCTAGCGAACCTTTCCGGCTCTATCGCCACAAACTCAAACTCCCTCCGGATCCTATTTATCCACCTCCTTCTAACTTCTCTAGCCTCTCCGATTAATAGGTCCAGCCCACCCCCTTGGCCTAAGACTAGGGGTACTATAACCTTCGACCAAGCCCCCGGCTTGACGAAGATTATCGCGGTGACTTTGAGATGTACCTCAGTCGTTCTCCCTTCCGCCTCTTCCGACTCTACCCACACGAAATTTCCTCTGGCCGTAATCTCCCCTCCCTCTAACCTTCTTCAATCGGGGATTCCCCCGTTGCTCGGAACTAAGCTACACACCCCTCGCTTGTCTAGAGGGGACTCGACAAACCTACTGATGCTTCTGTCAAATAAAACCATTCATTATAACCCACCTTTTGGCAGACTCCAAACACCCTTTGGTAACG